CTGAGAAAGTAAAAGTTGGTAATGTTTGGTAAAATAAGTGTTTTTTTCTTAAACAAAAAACCACAAGCACTTAATTTAAGAGTTTGCAAACAAACCCTTAAAGGAGTTTGCTGAGGGAAAGTTTGACACATTATTTTAACAAATGTCATTTTTATTTAAGAGTGTACGAGATAGAGTTGGATATACGACTATAGAAATAATATCTCTTGGGAGACAATCCAAGTTTCTTGATTTTTTTACCCCCTATTCACACTTTTGATTTTTCAGATGTTAATGTTGGGAGGCAAATGAGATTTCAAGGTGCTTAATATTAATGGAAACTTCATATATCTGATGAGGGTGTTGATGAGGTTAAAGAAACTATCAAAACCTGCCCAAATTTGCTCTGGCCTCTTTGGGTGAGAATGATCCTCAAGGCTAAGAAGAGTATGACGAAAAAGGCGTTGATTGTAGAGATATTCCACCTTCTTTCTTGGAAGTTGCCAAGAGGTATCTCACACCTTCATGGAAGGAGCTCTCCAACATATGAACATGGGAGAAGATATGGAGATAACTAAGAAGCTTGGATGCAACTTCCCTTTGTCTCCAAATAGCCCTATAAATAGAGTGTTCTATTGTTGTTCATATTATCAGTTTTAGAAAGTGAGAAAAATGTGTAAAGAGTGAAATACACTTAGAGTATAAGTGTATTAGTGAGGATTGGTTTTTTGTAATAGTTGAGTGTGAGAGTTTGCTCCTCCTATTCCAATTTTGTTCTTGATGTTGAATAGAAGATTTTCCCAATCCCAACAAGTGGTATCAGAGCGAGGTTGAGTTTCCATACACTGTTTTCTCATTTTTCAGAAAAAATTTCTACAAGTTAGAAAATCGTGATTTATTTAAGTTGCTCGGAATCAGATTCGTCTTATCGAGACGAGAAATCTGGTATTTTTGGGGAATGTTTTGGCCACCGGAAGAGGCCGTACGCGCCGCCCAAACGCCGCCTGGAAACTGCCTGCGTCATCACGCAGTCCAGAGCAAGAAGAAGAGACACGTCAACGCCACATCAGTCCACGTAAGCGCCATGTCAGTCGCCACGTCAGCCGTACAAGCCATCCGCTGGGAGCCATGTCAGATGCCACGTCATCGCCACGTCAGCAACACGTAAAAAAAAGTCAGCGCCAGCTGTGTCCACGTCACCATCCTGGGTGTCAGCACACTGGGATGTTGCCTGAACTAGACCGAACCAGTTCGTAGTTGTGGAGGCCGGTACACCCATTTACAGACTGGTTTTGGACGAGGTCATACCGGTTCCTACCATTTTCGGCCATTCCGGATCCAACGGTGAGCTCCGTTTGTCCAAATTCGGTTTCGAAAATAAGGTACGAGATATACTGAGCATTTTATTATGGATAAATCATCATCGGACACCATGATTGTGCTCACTTCCACAAATTACAATATGTGGATGCCTCGGATGGAGGATTTGCTAAATTTGAGGGATTTAGCTGATCCTCTTGATAATAATGGCGTGAAACCGGATAAAAAGACGGATGAAAAATTGACAAAAATGAATCGAAAAACTGTCGCACAAATTCGACAGTGGATAGATCATAGTGTGTTCCACCATGTGGCTCAAGAACAAAATGCTTACAAACTATGGGAGAAGCTTGGTAGCATGTATCAAGCAAAAACCGCCCGAAATAAGACGTTACTAATGAGCAGATTAGTGAACCACAAGCTACGAGGTGGTATTTCGGTGTCAGAACACACCAGTAAATTCCAGGATCTTGTGAATCAGTTGAGCACCACCGGATGGGTTCTCAAAGATGAAGAGCAGGCGATACTACTCTTGAGCTCTCTACCTGACAGCTGGGAGGCTCTTGTTGTCACTCTCAGCAATTCTGCTCCTAATGGCAAGGTGACTATGCAAATGGTCACAAATGCCCTGATGATTGAAGAAGCCCGAAAGAAAGAAGCCGGGACAGAGCAATCATATGCCTTCATGTCAGAAACCAACAGACGAGGGGGGGAGGGGGCAGAAATGGAGGAAGAAGTCGAGGTTGAGGTAGAGGCCAAAGTCAAAACAAAGGCAATTCTCAAGTTCGCGGCAGATCACATGAGAGAGGTATGTGCTTTGAAAACAATACTTGGTTTGAAGGATATTGCAATTACTGTGGTAATTATGGGCATAAAAAAGAGATTGTAGAAAGTTTCTAAGAGAGCAGCCACTGACGAGTCAAAATACTAGCCAAGAAGATGGTGTGACTATGGTTAGTTTGTCATCAGACGTGTGTCTTGTTACACATGGTGAACAAGAATGTTTACACATAGGTACTCATGATGTTGAGTGGGTGATTGATACAGCCGCATCATTTCACGCCACTCCACACCAGAACTTATTCACATCTTATAAGTCCGGAGACTTTGGAGCTGTGAAGATGGGAAACACCAGTTTCTCGAAGATTGTTGGCATTGGTGATGTGCACATAACAACCAATGTCGGATGCGCACTTATGTTGAAAGATGTTCGACACGTTCCGGATCTTAGATTGAATCTTATCTCCGGTATAGCTCTGGATCAGCAAGGATATCTTAACCGATTCAAAGAAGGTATGTGGAAGTTATCTAAAGGTTCCTTGATTGTTGCAAGAGGCCATATTTGTGGTACTCTATAAAACTCATGCAAAGTTGTGTCATCCGAGTCTCAATGCTATTGAAGAAGAGATATCACCAAACTTGTGGCACCGGGGGTTAGGCCACTTGAGCTTGAAGGGATTGACAACTCTTGCAAAGAAGGAAGTCATTTCCATTGGCAAAGGTGTTGCCCTAGATTCATGCGAGCACTGTCTATTTAGGAAACAACATAGGGTTTTCTTCAGTTCTACCAGGAAGAACCATACTGAGTTACTCAGACTTGTCCACTCTGATGTATGTGGACCCATTGAAGAGGAGTCACTTGAAGGAAGCAGATATTTCGTGACATTCATTAATGATGCATCACGAAAGGTATGGGCTTACTGTTTAAAGAGTAAGGATCAAGTGTTTGATCGCTTCAAATTATTCCATGCCATGGTAGAAAGAGAAACAGGAAAGAAGCTAAAGTGTCTACGTTCAGACAATGGAGGAGAGTACACTTCCCGGGAGTTCTCAGCATATTGCGCCACATATTGAATCAGACATGGGAAGACGGTTCCACGAACTCCACAGCACAATGGTGTAGCCGAAAGAATGAATCGAACCATTATGGAGAAAGTTCGTTGCATGTGGAGTATGGATAAACTACCTAAGCCATTCTGGGGTGAAGCTGTGCTGACAGCTTGTTATTTTATAAACAGGTCACCTTCTGTTCCTTTAAACTTTAAAGTGCCAGAGAAGAAATGATCAAGAAGAGATGTTTCTTACTCTCACTTGAAAGTGTTCGGGTGCAAGGCATTTGCACATGTATCCAAGGAGTTGAGATAGAAGCTTGATCTCAAGTCAAACCCATGCGTCTTCATCGGCTATGGAGATGAAGAATTCGGATACCGCTTGTGGGATCCCGAAGTGAAGAAAGTTATACGAAGCAGAGATGTTGTATTTCATGAAAACGATTTTCATGGGTGTGCTCCAATAATCCACCAACAACATACTCCAAAAGATGAAGTGCCTGTATCATCAAACATTCCTCTTAGCGACGAGGAGATGTATGATACTACCGAACAAGAGAGTGATAGTTCAGTAGGTGATGATGAAGCTCACAGTGATGATATTCCTCAGCAGGGGGAGCCTTCATCTGAAGACGAAGATGAAGGTACTCATGTTCGACGTTCTCTGCGAGGCATAGTTCCATAGAGAAAGTACTCCACATCCGAATGGATACTTGTTGCTAGCGAGGGGGAGCCAGCGAGCATCGCAGGAATGAGAGAAATAAAGAAAAAGGTGGAGGGGGAGATTTGTAAAGATATTCCACCTTCTTTCTTGGAAGTTGCCAAGAGGCATCTCACACTTTCATGGAATGAGCTCTCCAACATATAAACATGGGAGAAGATATGGAGATAACTAGGAAGCTTGGATGCAACTTCCCCTTGTCTCCAAATAGCCCTATAAATAGAGTGTTCTATTGTTGTTCATATTATCAGTTTTAGAAAGTGAGAAAAGTGTGTGAAGAGTGAAATACACTTAGAGTAGAAGTGTGTTGGTGAGGATTGGTTTTTTGTAATAATTGAGTGTGAGAGTTTGCTCCTCCTATTGTAATTCTGTTCTTGATATTGAATAGAAGAATTTTCCAATCCCAACATTGATGTTGAGAGCTTGCTAATGATGATGTTGTTGAGAATGAATTGAAATCTAGGCTGAAAAATCTTGAAATCTATCAAAGTAAATGATAGAAACATATGAGAAGAAGCTTGTAGACCATTCTGCCATCTGTGCTTTCAAAGAATCAAATATTTTTGTTGTCTATTTCAGACTTCATCTCTTCCTTGTCTCTGCTGAATGCAATCCTGATGTATAAATCATTCCTTCAACTCTTTTTGAAGGTTTTTCTTTCTACCATCCAAGAATCTCCTGGACAGCTCTTTGCTTAGCATAGATCCTGCACAAAGATGGTTCTAACTGCTCAATGGTGATAGTTTGCAAGAAGATGGTTCTTTTAGGGTCCGTTTGGAATCTGAAAATGCCAGGGAAAGAAAACAGGAATGGAAATTCAGGGGCTACATCAGCTCTAACAGCTTCCTGCAATATCCAGGTATAAGGATGCTCATTCATCAGTTTGCTTGAAGATCCCAACCAGCTAGAACTGCTTATGAACAATGACAGTTTCACTCTGTAAGTCTTTGCCCATTCTGCTTTTGCTCTGTGACTATAAAAATGAGAGATCATATGAACATTAGTTATTTTATTTGTTTTTTTGATCGTCATGAACATTAGTTATTAGATTAATAAGAAAATATCAATGATTTTTTTACACAGATAAAAAAAACATTAAGGTAAATAAAATAAATACTTTTCCCTTTAAAAAAGGAAGCTTAATTATAGACGTTATATGTGCAAAGTGTTATTCTACTCAGATTCCAAAGATAATACTACTACAAGTAATATCTTTGGAAATATCACAGACCATGAATCACAGAAAATGCAGAGTATTCACAAATACATTCCAATCGTACATTACACTACGATATATCACAAAGACCATCTAGCTATGGAAAATTACATCAACAGGCCATTATATCCTAATTTCCATCAAGAAATCCCATAATAAAGAAAACCAATGAAAATCCAAATGGCTAATTAATAGAGAATCAATTCGGAAATAAGAATCTGATGTTTCCCAAAGGGAAACATTTGATATATGGGATGTTTCCGTGCTCCTATGTGCAGGCGTGCAGCGTTTCATAAAATGCAAAGTTCGCTTATGCAACGTTTCATAAAATGCAAAGTTCGCTTATGCACCGTACAATCAATCAGCGGTAGTGAGTTACCCAGGCAGCGCTGCCAGAAAGAACCCGACCTTTCCACCCCTGCAGCACCCAATGGCCGTCTTCAGCAAACATAAAGTCTTTGTGATATGATTCCCGTGCCTTGTCTCTTAACTTCTTTACGAGTTCAGGGTTCAGGGGCATAGGCTTGAACCCAGCCCTCAAAGTGCGGCTTTGCCACTGCTTGTATGTTTCAGGCCTTTCTAACCTTTCCGTGCCCTCGCATGCTAGAATATTCGTTATGACAGGCCCCATAACTGTTTGTTCGAAATTTAACCGTTGACTATCATGGTGTGAGAAAATAGATTCAAACATATCAAAGATACCAGAGTAGTAGAAGAGAGCAGATTGGAACCGATTGACAAAGAAAGGTGAGTTGTGAGATGCACTAAGCGAAGTATGCACAAAAATATGAGGGTTTACTTCCCGGATTAAGTTTAAAACAACATCCCTGGGACTGTCAGAACCAGATGCTGTCTCGTCTAGTAAGCCTTTGAATCGATCATTACAGTTAACAGCAACCACCTCACCCTGCGCGAGCTTTAAGTCATCAATCTTAAGTGCCTCCCAATTCTTTGCAGTGATGGCATTGTATTGAAACGGTACATTAAAACGCTTGCAATATCTTGCCAAGCGACAACCAGTGTCCACTATTGTTTGAGATGGACGAAAACCGGGTTGGGGAAGCTCAATCCCAGTTATTCGAAGTTTTGGAGGGCCACCGTTCCTTTGTGAAAGATCCCGAATAAGAGTGGGCCACTGAATACCATGAAGAATCCCAAAATCTATAATGTGTAGTGATGTCGCTTTTTTTGCTACTTCATAAATCATTTTATTCGCAAAGAAGATAAATAACCTCAGAAATGGCAAATATGATGACATGTAGGATTTCATCAATTCGGAAGCATAACTTGGAAAGCAATCTGCCTTGCAAAATGATGACGAAGCATAAAGTTGCGGCAGAGTTCCCAGGCGTGCCTCAAGGCCGTTAGCAAACGCATGTGCCAGCCTCTGATTTGAGTCACCGGAAGGAGAAGAGTAACGCCTGATGTTCTTTAGTTGTTCTACAGCAACCTTATCATTAGCAGCAGCAACAGATTTTGCGCAGCTGATCAAAAGAGACTGGAGATCAACGACTGCACAACCATATGTTCCTTGTTTATTTGAACGGCTATTGCGCGCATTTTGGCCTTTCTGTTGTTGTTTTCCGGCTGCAGATAGAAAATCATCATTATTATCAGTAGTACATAGCAAAACCTTATCAAACACCTCTGATAAGTCCTCCTCCTCCTTATAAACTGCACTCTGCTTCCTGCTCCTTTCCTCATCTTTTTCTACTTCTAGCCCACTTTCACTTGCACGGTAGTGCTTCCTTCCTCTACACGAATCAGCTTGGTGTTCTTTCTTTACACTCACAACACTACCTTCAGTCTCCAAGTCCAATGGGTATTTATCATCAAAATGGATGACCATCGGATTAATGGCAGGAAATAATCTTCTAGCTTCCTGCACACCTCTCTGGAATTGGAGTATGAAGGCAGCTTCATCATCCAAACGTATAGTAGCACTATCAAAGCTATATAAAGAACCGTTTAACCCATCCAATGTAGTCTGACTTGATGAAGATGACTGGATGGAGAGACAGGGAGGATCACTTGTGAAGGATGATTTGGATTCTCCGTGATCGGAATTATAGAGATCAATATCAGAAGTGGAGGTCCCAACTGAGATGTCTTCTGGGCTTCCGACACTGCTGTCAAAAGAGAGGTTCTCGCTCAAGGCTTCAAAAAAGTAATCCTCGGCAGCTCTCAGCGCAATAGGATCACGGAGCAACAGGTCATCATTATTCTCGTCAACGTCCTCCTCCAATAGTATCTTGTTAAGGTAATTGATCACGTGAGCTGAGCCTGTCGAAAGAGCGTGGTTAGGGCATTGTTCTGTCATTGGTGAAAGGACACCCTCGCTCTCACTCTCCAACCCGAGCCTCTTTATATGGAAGTAGGAAGGCAACCTTCCAGGCTGATGATCCATAAGCGTGGATGACAAGCTAGAAACCTATACCGATGACATATGGAAGAAACATGGTAAGCAGACAAATAAACAACGGCAACAATTCAATCAAAATGAACTGAGTACTTAATATGTATGGAGCTGAGGGAGAAACAAATCTCTGCATTGTCTACTCAATGAATTGCATCTTCTTCTGCTAGCCTACTGTTCCTTTTATCATTCCCTCGTCTTTTAAACATTGTAAAGTCAAAATGGATTTCAAAAAAGCCACAAATTGAACAGGAGGGCCAAACTGACGCATTAAACCTCAATTCTTAGATTTCTTAATTGCTAAAGGACATGCAGTAAGATAGCAACTGATGGAAAAGGAAAAATGGGACCTCCATACACTGCTAAAACAAAGCAGCTAGCTTATGATATTCAATACGCATGTGAATAAACTATATATAATCAACCAACATAAAACCATTGAGCAAATTAAGCAATAGAACAGCTAGCGAGTGCGTACCTTGGAGTGAGAAGCAGGGCATGATTTATCTCTGAAATTGGAGATAATATATATAGCAGCAAAAGAAATGCAGTGAGAAGACGGAGTAATTCAGGACGGGAGAAAGCCAAGGGATGTGAAGAAGGTATGGAAATCAAATGCAGTGTACTCTGAGCCACGAATTATTGCCAGTTGACACTGCTGCCATGTCCCAATTCCAAATAAAGTTTCTCTGGATAACCACATGGGGGTCGCAATGTCATGTCCAAAGTCTATTAATGGAAATTTAATCATGCACTGCTTACCAAAAACAGCATGTATCTCAAAAACACCAGCCACAGGACTTCTGTCCCACCACTACGATGGTTGTAGCCTACGTCAATTTTTTTAGAGTAGATTATTTCCATAAAGTTTGAATCTAAATTTCATTAGCAAAGTCAGTTAAATAAATTGTTAAAACAAATTACGTCAAACTATACATATAAAAGAGCAATATTTTTCAATAATTTATTTAACTGAGTTTCTGGATGAATTTTAAACTGAAATTTTGTGTACATAATTTATACTTAATGAAAAACATGGTAAAAATATCATCAAATTTTCCCTGGGAACCTGTCCAACGGCGGTGATCGGATGGAGTATCCTGGTGATCTATATGTGTGTGTGTACACTCCTTTGAAAATGATGAAATATTTAGATTCACGCTGCTTAGTTTATTTATAATAATTATTTAAAGTTGTTTACCTTTTGTAATATTTAGATCATGTTGCCAAAAATTATTTTGGTCATTTTTTAATACATTATTATGGTGTGTTATGAATTTGGACTAAAAAATTGATGGTATGGTCTAGTCTGGTATGTTTAAATCTAGTCCGATTTGGTCGGGTTTGAACTGGTCTGATCTGGTTTGGTCTTTGTGTATTTTATAACTACAGAAATCTGAGTTGGTCTGGTCTGGTCTGTTTAAAACTGGTCTGGTTTGGGACTGAAAACAGTCCAAGTAAAAACATCCTAATAAAAAGCGATTATTATACTCTTAAAGTATAGAGAAATGACAAAATATTTCTCCAACATTTTTTGGAAGATATAAATATGATTATTATTCATTTTTCCAAAATCTAACTAAACTAATTACAACTTTCTACACTCTTTTTTAATTGCATCGTTTCCATTTTCACGTTTCTGAACACACAACTTTGACTATTCATATGTTTCATTCAGAGAAGTGTCTAATGAGTACATTAACTTGTATCCACTACAGTAAAGAGTACATTGTATTACATCTAATATTTATAGAGACATAAATTCGGCATTTTATGGTTGATTGAGTACAACTTTGAAGTTAACATAAAATTGCTTATGTAAAAGTCTTTACTACTTTTAATTCATTTTCAGAAAAATTTCATGTTTTCCTCTTTTTTCCGAAATTGTGATTTTATATTGTTTTGTTTTATTCACTTTTACATTTTTAACTCCACCATGAGATCATTTTTTGGTACCATGCCTGTTCCAAGCAAGGATAAAGGAGGAGGGTGTTGTGGTAGGCGTGTGAAGGCCAACAATATCACTTAGTCACATCACATGACATGAATCGAAATATGAATATCACTACAGCTAGGTCGTCGCCCGTAAGCGATGTGTCATCCCTCCGCCTATGGGTGGTGTCAAATATGCAAGGGCACGCTACACTTCATAGGCTTGGGTGTGGTGATAAGAATGCTAAGGCTGCTAGGTCGTCGCCCGGAAGCGACGCACCACTCCAATGCCCAGGGATAGTGTCAAATATGTAAGGGCATGGTGGTAGTCGATGTGGTGTGAAGAAGAAAAGGCAGGGTGCTACATTGCGTTTTGGGACATGGAATGTTGGCTCTCTTACGGGAAAATCATCCGAGATAGCTGAGGTTATGAAAAGGAGAAATGTCAGCATAATGTGCATGCAAGAAACTAAATGGGTTGGAGAAAAGGCACGTGAGATTAATCCCGAAGGTTTTAAGTTGTGGTATTCGGGTAGAGAAAGGAACATAAATGGGGTAGGCATTATGGTGACACATGATTATGTTGAGAGTGTGGTGGAAGTCTTCAGGAAGAACGACCACATCATGAACATTAAGTTGATAATAGGAGATGAGATCATGTCTGTGGTAAGTGCCTATGCACCACAAGTGGGATTTGATGCATCTATCACTCAACAATTTTGGGAGGATCTTGAGGAAGTGGTGCGACGAGTGTCAAGAGGAGAGAAGCTGATCATAGGAGGTGACCTCAACGGACATGTGGGCCCAAGTCGTTATGGTTTTGAGAGTATCCATGGCGGACATGGTTTTGGTACCGGCAATGAAGCGGAGAAGAACATTCTAGATTTTGCCTCGACGTATGAGTTGGCTGTGATGAACATTTGGTTCAAAAAAAGAGACTCTCACCTTGTGATCTATAGAAGTGGAACTAATAGTACCCAAATTGACTACTTTTTAGTACAAACGACTTGTAGAACTAACTACATTGATTGTAAGGTTTTTTCATGTGAGAGTGATGTCACTCAACATAGGATGCTCGTGCTTGAATTTCAAGGTAAAAAGAGAAGGCGGGTTAAGGTACAAAGGGAGCCCAAGATAAAGTGGTGGAGGCTCGAGTGGAATCTGCAACAACTTTTGCACAGAAAATGTTGGAGGAAGATGTATGGTCCATTGATAATGACACACATGTGGATGATGTGTGGTTATCAATGGAGTCCATCATTAACAAAGTGGCGAAAGAAATACTTGGAGAATCTAAATGATGTCTACCACCAAAAAAGGACACATCTTGGTGGAATGATGAGGTGAAACAAGCAATAAGGACTAAAAGGGAATGCTATAAGAAATTAGGCAAAAGTTGGAGCGACGAGAACATAGAGGAGTACAAGGAGACTAGAAGAAGAGCAAAGAAAGCTGTAAAGGAAGCAAGAGGAAAAGTGAACAAGGAATTGTATGCAAAATTAGACTCTAAGGATGGAGAAAAAATATTTACAGACTTGCTCGTCTTCGTGACCATAGGACTCAAGATATCGAAAAAGTTAAGTGTGTGAAGGATGTCGATCAAAGGGTATTAATGGAGGACAGGGAAATAAAGAAGAGAGGTGGTCATATTTTGATACCTTGTTCAACGAGAATAAAGTGCAAGGTATTGATGATCTTACTATACCAAAGTGTATGGTAAATCGGGACTTCGTGAGAAGGATCCAAATAACTAAAGTTAAAGAGGCTATGAGAAAGATGGGGCGGAAGAAAGCAGTGGGCCCAGATGGCATACCGATTGAGGCTTGGAGAAGTTTGGGAGAGAAATAAAAACATTGAGTGGCTGACACGTTTCTTCAACAGGATTTGGAGAAACAACAAAATGTCAATGAGTTGGTGGAAGAGTACTCCCATTCCCTTATTTAAAAATAAGGGTGATATACAAGAATGTGCCAACTATCGAGGGATTAAGCTTATGAGTCACACCATGAAACTTTGGGAGCGTGTGGTTGAGCAAAGACTTCGAAAAAGTGTGAAAATTTTGGAGAATCAATTTGGTTTTATGCCTGGACGCTCAACAACTGAAGTCATTCACCTTCTTAGACAAGTTGTGGAGAAGTATAGAGACACTAAAAAGGATCCGCATTTGGAGTTCATTGACTTGGAAAAGGCATATGATAGGGTCTTAATTAGAAAAGGCATATCACATAAGTATATCAGTATCATCATGGATATGTATGATGCTTGTACTACGAGTGTCCGTACTTGTGTAGGGAGGACCGCAGAGTTCCCTATTATCATCCGAGTGCACCACAGATCGGCTCTGAGTCCTTTCTTATTTGCTATAGTCATGGATGAATTTACGAAGTCAATTCAAGAAGATATACCATGGTGCATGATGTTTACCGACGATATTGTATCGATTGATGAGACATAATCGGGTGTTAAAGCAAAGTTGGAAGTATGGCGACAAACATTGGAGACCAAGGATTTCAGACTGAGCCGAAGCAAGACTGAGTATATGGAGTGCAAGTTTGGTGGAGGTAGAAGTAGTATCAACAGTGGGATTACTCTTGATGGTATGGAGATACCGGTGTGTGATATGTTTCGGTACTTAGGCTCCATAATTCAAAATGATGGTGAATTAGATGAAGATGTATCCCATAGAATCAGAGCTGGGTGGATGAAATGGAAGAGTGCATCATGATTTCTATGCGATCGAGGTATGCTGCTAGACTGAAGGTAAATTTTATCTAACAACAATTAGGCCCGCATTAATGTATGGAGTAGAGTGTTGGGTGGTGAAGTAATGTCACAGTCAAAAGATGAGTGTGACAGAGATGTGTATGTTGCGTTGGATGTGTGGACATACCAGAAAAGACCGTTTGAGGAATGAGATAATCAGGCAAAGGGTGGAAGTAGCACATATAGAAGATAAGATGCAGGAGTCCCGTTTGGGGTGGTTTGAGCATGTGCATAGAAGAACGAGTGATGCACTTGTTAGGCGACTTGAGGGGTGTAACACCGTCCCCAAATGTATTTACTTTTAAGTGAATAATGTATTGAACCTTATGGGATGGTTAATGAGTATACGAAGTTGTGAATTTCTAATATGTCTTTTGAGTGAATAGTAAATTCGCACGTGGGGCCCACACCGGGAGCGGGGCCGCCCGATGTTCCCGAGACCGTATATTTTATTCACCGTGGTCGAAATAATGTTCATATAGAGATGGATATTATTTTTAAATATTTATTTGGGGGCTTGTATGCCCATGTTTGCCAAGGTGTGGCATGAACACTTGTATTGAATGTTTCCGCTGCTTTGAATGAATATTTTTACATTATGTTTGTTTACGGATGTACTATTGTGAATGATATTACAAACGCCTTGTATAGTATGGATGTGTTGGATTGCGGTTGACTATTCGTACTGTACGGCGGATTGTTGACGTGTCCGGATAGGTCCGGGGCGTGACAATTTAATTGGTATCAGAGACTTAGTCCGTAAACTTCATAATGAAGCTTCAAAATTTCATTTTGAAAACGAATTTGAAAACCATGAGCATAAAAGTTTTGTACTTATGGAACTTTTGGTACTTGAGTTGCAAAGTCTCTAATTGTTAAGATGGTACCCTTAACAATTGGTATGACGGTGATTTGAGCCAAAGGATGTCTTTAAGTACCTATCCGTCACTTGACATTGATACGAGTCTAATGACTCATTCTAATTCCTTTCAGAAAT